GGGAACGTGGAGACAGCAAGTACAGAAAAGTTTTGCTCTAAAAGGAAAGAGAGAAGTGGGATGGTAGCTGGAGGGGATGTGGGGCAAGGGAGCATTTCTTTTAAGACGGGAAATACTTCACCCTGTCTGCCCAGGGAATGATAAAGCAGGGAAGGGAAGGCACTGAAGCAGGAAAGCCAGGACACGTATGGGAGTGAGGTGGCGGGGCAGGGGGCGTGTACAAATGGCTTGAGGAGGAGCCAGTCTTATCCACCTGTGAATTCCCGGGGTCTTACACAGAGATTAGTCCGTAATAGGGCTCTCAAAACAATGAATAAATGAATGTATTCTCAAACAAGGGCCCTTCCTTTCTGTACTAGGCTATGAAAAAATATAGATTGCTTCACAAAGTAGATAGGCAACACTGTATTTACTGAGAGATGAGAATGGCTCAAAAGCAATAAAAAAAAAAAAAAAAAAAGGTTAGGGCAAAGAATGGGAAAAAATAGTCTGCAGTCTGCAGTAGGAGTTCAGACCAGAATTCACATCTCAGGAGCCAGGCAGGTAAGGAGGCAGTGGGAGAGGTGTCTAACGGCCTAAGTGGCATTATTAGGTAGGCCCAAGGGGACGCACACACACAAGAAAGCCTCCAGGAAAGACAGAAATGTCCAGTCAGATGACTGGATCAATGCAGCCATCATGACCTTAGAGCAATGTAATACCGGCCAATCACCGAGATGTGGTACAAAAAGATTCTCCAACCAGCCTAGGATCTACTGGAAGCTCTTCGTCATGGTTATCGCCTCTGGGATTGCCACCCGTGCTTCACTCCCCTCTCTAGAGCCCAGGGGAAGGTGTGGTCTTGCAGTGACGTCCTTCCACCTGCTCCTCTAGGACAGTGTTACTGACAAACACTCAGGCCACCAGAGTCTCTGCCCACTGAGGAGCTCCAATGTCGATCATCTCCCCACCCAGCCTCGTGAGCTCGAGGAGCTGAGAAAACGAAGCGGCAACCCCTTGTGCCAAGAGATGGAAAAGCTCAACAAACCAACCTAAGACCCTTAAAGACAGGGTTGTCCTTTCTTATTAAAAGCAGTTTTAATACACAAGGAAATCGAACTAAGAATGATCCTATTAGTACTCATTTCTTTTTCCTGGAGTAAAAACAGACCTGATAGGCACAGCTTTAACTTTCCTAGGCACTGTGACATCATCTGGTGTTTAGCCTGTGTCGCTGCCCTTTCTGAGAGTATTTCACATGGCTAGATAGTTCAACTGTCTAAAAGGCCTGTTATACTCCCCTCCACTCCACTCTGGAGAGGGTACAAAGCAAGCCCACCCCTAGTGTGTCTCACTTCCTGTCGTTATAGAGGCTCCAAAAAAGGGGGAAGGGGTTAAATCTCAACTGGAAGTGCTTTCGGAGAGCCAAAGGTGAATAACCGGACAAAGATGAATGTTATATTACCCAACCCAGAACAATTAAATCTTACTCAAGAGATTGGTTTCAGTTTCTACAGTTTAGGATAAAATATTAACTGGAAGATATGGCAGAGTAAAAACGTAAGTGTATATGTATTTGCTAATCTTGTTTGTGGATCCAAGATCTTAAGTGGAGGTCAACTGTTGGACATCGAGTTGTCTTTCACACACCACACCCATCATGACCTATGTTTTCCAGTTCCAGTTCAGGTTTATGTAAAGAAAAAAAACCCTGAAAACACTCATGAAGTGATTGATGTGCAGAGTCCTTCTAGACTTTCAAGACTCCCTCTCCATTTTTTTACAGTTTGCTTACCTATATAATTGAGCAGTAATTTCTTTTAATGATTTGAAATTACTGAGTCATTCCAAAGCATTTGAAATACTCACAAAACCATTCTTTTTGAATTCAAATTTCTTGGGCTTACATCATATTTAATTACACTGTATAATTACAATAACAAGTATGATGAATATAAACAAATACAGGAATAAATACAACCGAACCTTTGTAAGCACACAATTGGTTGGGAGGCCTCATGGGGGGAGGGATATATCAGACCCCGTGGCTCACAGAGCAACAACAAGCATTCAGTGCACCAAGTTGGTTAAAGCAGAGGTTGGGTAAGAGACTGTCTATTGTATATCAGGCTCAAAGTACTGTAATAAACGTTAGTTATCATGAATGCCCCAAACTTAAAGGTTTTAATTCATCGAAATGCCAATAACAATTAGTAAAACTTGTAAGTGGGGGGATTTTCCTGCTATTGATTTCTTGTTTATCAATAGGAAAAACATTCAGAGGTTGGAAGGAAAGGAAATTCCGTGTCTTCATGAAGTTGGGCCTGTTTGTTCTTCTGTCTCTGCCACTGGACTCTAAGCCCCCTACGTGTCTGTTTTCCTCTAACAGTAGCTCAATAAACTTGCTCAGTAAACTTGCTGAATATGTTCCCACATCCTAACATGAATCATATAAATAAAATTTTCTAGGGCTGAGAAAAAACAAATGTTAGAAGGTCTGATTCAGTCTATTACCTGATAATATTTTCTGTTTTTCTTTACATTGCAGGTATGTTTCCTGGCATTGGTTAATTAAATCTATTAACCAGGGTCCCATTTATACTTCCACTACTATTACATTAATGCTAATAATATTCTGTAAACTACTCTATCTTGATTAAAGCCATTAGTTCCCATTAAAAAATAAAATCAGGTTTAATGTCCTATTGAGTTTGAATTTCACATTCCCACAATATGTGGCAGCTAATACTTCCAGTTTCTAGCACTTCTATTGAGAACATAAAAGTTCTCCCGGAACTAGCAAATTACTTCCCTTCTAACACAATTATGTAATCTGAGAACTGAACGGCACCCTAGAGATTATTTTGTGGCCCAAAATCCCTCCCAATTAAGGGATCCCATCAAAAAGTACTCAATTTGGGGGGCCGGGCAAGAATGTTTATCTTTAAATTCCACATTATGGAGTTCTGCACCCATAGAAGGCTCTTAATACATACTTGTTTAATTGAACTGAACAAGTCTAAAATGGGTGCATTTCATTAATTTTCTTGTTCTTTCTGGGCTTTTGCTGTAAGATCCACTGAATCTGTAATTAAAAGTGTGCATGAATCTCCTGCTCATTAACCAACGTTCAATAAAGAAATTCAATCACTGAAACTCTACGATCAGTCAAATGTTTTAACATTTAGGCTGCTAATGTCAGTACATAATAAAACTAACAGAAAATGGAAAAAATCAAGTTTTAGTTTGCATATGATCTATAAAGAGTTTCCAATTTGTCCAAAATACTCACCCATTCTCAATTTCTAGGATGATTTTTTTTTAAAATGAGTAACATCTTGCATCATTCACACAACTAAATTATACACCCTTCTACTTATAATTGGGGTGCTCACAGACTTAAACACAGCATTGAAGTAAGACATGTTGTTATGCTAATTAATTTTCCCTCCAGTTAAAACAGACTTGTGATCCCGTCTGATTTCCCATAATATGATATGATAAGAGGACAAAGCCTGTGGAGCGGTAAAACACCACCAACAATTTTACTTTACTCAAGTATGTATTCCAAAACTACATAATTTACAGCATGGCCCTACTTAGTACCTCTATGACCATGCATCCGTTTTGAGGACTTTTACAATATAGGATAGGACACAAGATATATTATTTCCAAATTCCATTTCCTTCTGTTTTGCTGAAAGGGAACACACACACACACACACACACACACACACACACAAACACACAGGGTCCCTCAACAACACAATTACTGCTTTACTAAATTTTTTCAGGCAATAATTTAAAGTCCCACTTCCTCCTAAATATCTCTGGACAGCAACTCTTGGCAATCCATCTGGCTCTTTCATCACAGCTTCTTTTCATAACTAACGGGTCAAGTTCCGCTCCCCCCATTTCAACACCATGCACTGTACTCGCAGCCCGCTGCCACAGCCCACTGCTGAATGCCAGAATATAGCATATTGAATTTCACTGTCCTTCATTGTTTCCACTTTAACTGCCATTTTACCACCATGCACAGGAGACAGACGCTTTCCCACAGGCATCTTATGAATTTCCAAAGCAGCTAGTCTTTGTGGATTTACAAAAACGTTTGTCTTCTCTAAATTCCCTTGAGCACCACAGAAACGGCTCTGGGAAGCTGAGATTTCTTTTCCTTTTTTTTTTTTTTTTTTTAAAGTACCCCAAGCAAAAAGAAACTGATTTTAAGCATTTCTATTTTGCTAGCAAATTTAATCCTAAGGGCCTTCCTACAGGGCAATGTCAGGGAATAGATCTTAAACACCGCTTTCGGCCTTCCCAGTGAAAATGAAATATTTTCAGCCCGTAAAGATTTATCTTATCAAATGCCCTTTCTTCTCAGCGACACCAGAAGGGCTACCCAGCGCACTGTAAAAACAATTGGCTTTGGCTTTTGCACTACGCCCTAAATCTTCCTAGCCGACCCCCCCCCCCCCCCCCCCCCCCCCCCCCCCCCCCCCCCCCCCCCCCCCCCCCCCCCCCCCCCCCGCCTTAGGCTCACAGACACACATTATCCCTCGGCAACCCCCAACGTGCCAGTGAAGTGGACCATTTCTCTGGCACAAAGGGCCGGCCTGCGCCTCGTGCACCGCGGCCTCTGCACACATGTGCGGGCTGACAAGTGCTGAGCTGCCCTTCCTGGATCCAAAGCTGGAGGTCTGGCCCGAAAGCCACACACCCCTTCCCACCCACCGCCTTCTCTCCGCCACCACTCTCCCCGATGACAGGCGACCGGCTCCGAAGCTCCCTCCGCCGGATCGGTGCCGTGGGGCCACGCTCGGACCCGCTTCCCCTCCGCCCACCGTCCTTTTTCCTCTCTCCTCTTCTCTGGCTCAAGAAATCCGTCGAACTTCATTCAGGCCGAAAGGAGCGGCCCTGTCCGGGGCCCCCCCGCACACCCTCCCCCGGCGGCCGCGCCCCCCGCGCCTCGGCCGGCCGCCGACTCCAGCGACCCCCGGCCCGCCCGGCCGGAGCCTCACCTCCTCCTCGCTCTCGCTTCGGAAACAGAGGCACGCGGCCCGCTTCTTGTAGCCGTCGCCGTCATAGGTACGAGTCTGATTCGACTTGAGCTTCATCATCCTCCGGGCCCGGGTGGGGGTGCGGTGCGGGTCGCGGGAGTCGAGGGTGGGGAGCCCGCTCCGGACGGCCGCGCGCGCGCGCGTCCCCGGCTCGGCCAAGGGAAGCAGGGAGGGGAAGCCGCTTCTCCGCTACACGGCTCGGCCGCTGGCCCGCCACGGCTGCCTCATTCCCCCCGGCCCAGGCCCCGCGCCGCCGCCGCCGTCACGGCCGCCGTCGCCGCTGCCGCCACGGCCGCCGCCCCCTCTGCCGCCACCACCCCCGACGACGACCGCGCCGCCATCTTGGGCGCGCTGCGTCAGCGGCGTAAAGCCGCGCCGGCCTGCGGGACGGCCGCGCGCTCGCGGCGCAGGCCGCGTCCGGGAATCGCACCCTCCCAGTCCGCGCGGCGTAAACGAGCGTCTGGAATGAAAGGGCCGTGTGAATGGAGGCGGCCGTAACGCCAGGGGCGTAGGGGTGGGGAAGGTGGGGCGTGCGCGGAGGAAGTCCGGGGAGAAAGGGGTGCGGACGCATGGTCGTCCCGCTCGGCTGAGCAGCGGCCGCAGCGGAGATCCGGCTGTCCGGCTACGCGGCTTGGCGGAGGGACAGCGGGGACTTGCCCAAGGTCACATCGCAGTTCCACGGGCGAAGATGACCCAAGGTCAGGCCGCCCGGTCTCGGCCTTGACCGTTCATCTGGGAGTGGGTGAAGGGGAAGGTCTGAAGGAAAAGTGGGATGCAATTAAACGCACTGGAGTGTGCAACCTAAAATACCTGGGATTAGGCACTGCACAGCAACCCGGGTTCGGGGGAGGGTGGGGGTGGCACATTCAATTGATATCCAGAAGCTGTGGAAGTCGTAGGAGCTGGGACATTAACAGATGTTTACCCTGCAGTCCTTGATTGGTGCAAAAACAGATGGTTCCTCTTAAGGTAAACAGAGGGGCCAGAAAAGGAAGATAGAGGTTTGTGTGCACACATAATGGAAATCATAAGGCATCATCGTTTCGGTCAGTAAAGGAGGACTGTATAGTGTGGATGTCAAACATTCTCCAGGGGAAAATATATAGCCACACCCTGTGGAGTAAGGAAAAATGTAATCCCTGAATATACAGTTATTTGTCTGTGAATTGTTTCTTTTCCTTCTTTAACTTGCTTGTATTTGGCACAGTCAAAAAATCAGGTTCTGAAACCAAACCTGGGTTGGAATCTGAATTATATAATTTATTTACCCCTCTGTTTGGCAGCTGGCACATAGTAGTAACTTCATACATTGCAACTCATATTACTGATATCTCACTCAACCCTTGCCTCATAAAATGTGGATTTTTAGTTAATTTGGGTCAATCCACATACACTACAGTTCCCAAAATCTTGGCCATTTTGGTTGTCTTTATAGCTTTCTCTTCTGCCATTACATCTCTAAAAGGAAGGAAGAAAGAAAACAGGTTCTGACTGTAGAAATCCTCTAACATGTTTGTCAAAAATTTGAAAAATATAGAGGGCATGCAGATTAAATCCCGTATCTCTGAGCACATTCAGTAGAGATTTGTAGCCTGCTTCCCCCCCCCCCCCTTTCCTGGTCTTTTCCCCCATGTTATTACTTTTTTTTAAAAAAAATAACATTTCTAGGGGCACCTAGGTGGCTCAGTCGGTTGAGCATCTGACTTCAGCTCAGGTCACGATCTAGCAGTTCATGAGTTCAAACCCCGCATCCGCCTCTGTGCTGACAGCTCAGGGGCTGGAGCCTTCTTTGGATTCTGTGTCTCCCTCTCTCTCTGCCCCTCCCCCACTCATGCACTGTCTCTCTCTCTCAAAAATAAACATTTAAAGAAAATAACATTTCTAATTACTACCTAATAGTCCACCACAGGGATGCACCATCAATTATTTTACCTTTTCCCCATTGTTAGAAGCTTAGGTTGTGTCCTGTGTTTCATTAGAATAGCAATGAATGTCCGCGTACATAAATCCTTAACCCTATTTCAGATGTTTCCTCAAGGTAAATTCCCAGAGGCAGATCAAGGGGGTAGTAATATCTTTATGGCCCTCACTGCCTTTTGCCAAAGGCTTTGCAGAAAAGTCGTATGAGTGCAATCACTCCAGCAGCTAGAAGTCACACTGTACTATCTGGTACTTTCTTAAGGTTGAGAGCAGAAATGCAAAGGACATTCCAGGTCTTGGTACATGAGTGAAGATATTAAGCAAGTTAGATTGTAAGCTTCTCACGGGCAGGCCCTGTATCATTTACCTCCATGTCTCCACCTTATAGCACAAGGCCTTGTCCAAAGTAAGAGCTCAGTAAATGTTGATTAAATAAGTGGGGGCAGTTTTCCTGTTGTTTCTACTTCCTTCCCCAGCTTTTATGGGCCTGTCTAGTTTCAAGAACCCCCTAGACCACTCCAGATTTCTTGCCTTGGTAGTAATTACTCTCTTTGTTCAGGAAACATTAACCAAAGGATTCCACCCTTTCCTGGAAGATAATGGCAAAGACCAGATTTCAATTCATTAAAAAATTATATTTATTAATATATTATTCCAGTTAAATACTTCTCCGAAAGTGCTACAAGAAAAAACTAACATGGGGGTGCCTGGGGAGCTCAGTAGGTTGAGTGTCCAACTTTGGCTCAGGTAATGATCTCATGGCTCTTGAGTTCTATCCCCGCATCTGGCTCTCTGCTGTCAGCGCAGAGCCTGATTCAGATTCCTCTATCTCCCTCTCTGTCTGCCGCTCTTCCAATCTCTTTCTCTCAAAATAAATAAACTTTAAAAAATCAATTATCTAAGTTCCTACTTTAAGAAGTTAGTAAAAAAACAAGTAAATTAAACCAAATGTAAGTAGAATAGAGAAGAAATCGATGAAATTAAAAACAATAGAGAAAATTAACAAAGCCAAAAGTTGGTTCTTTGAAAACACTAATACAATTCATAAATCATGAGCAAGATTGATAAAGGAAAAAAGAGGAAAAAGCAAATTACCAATATTAGTAATGAAAAAGGGGATGGCACTACAGATCCTACAGACATCAAAATAGTCGTAAGGGAATATAATGAAAAACTCTGAGCCAACAAATTCAACAAGTAGGTGAAATAGACAAATTCCTAGAAAAACAATTTACCAAAACTAACAAAATAGAAAACTGGAACATCCTTATTTATGTAACAAACTAAATTTGTTGAAAGCCTTGTCACAACTTTAGTTAATAAAAATGAGGGGCACCTGGGTGGCTCAGTCGGTTGAGCACCCGACTTAGGCTCAGGTCATGATATCACGGTTCGTGGGTTCGAGCCCTGCTTCGGGCTCTGTGTTGACAGCTCAGAGCCTGGAGCCTGTTTCAGATTCTGTGTCTCCCTCTTTCTCTGACCCTCCCCTGCTCACGCTGTCTCTCACTCTCTCAGAAATAAATAAAACATTAAAAATTTAAAAAAATGTATTGATATTGGTTGTGACAAAGGTACCATATTAATGTAAGATGTCAGCAATAAGAGAAACTGGGTGGGGTTATAAAGGAACTCAGTTACCTTTGCAACTTTTCTGTAGATCTAAAACTATTCTAAAATAAAAAGTCTATTTTTAAAAAAAGCCTCCCTACAAAGAAAACTCCAGTGTCAGGTGGTATTTTGGTGAAATCTATCAAATATCAAAGAAGTAATACCAGTCCTACACAGACATTCAGAAAATTGAAGAGGTAAGGGTACTTCTTTTTTTAAATTTTTTTAAATGTTTTATTTTTTTCCGAGAGAGAGAGAGAGACAGCATGAGCAGGGGAGGGTCAGAGAGAAAGGGAGACACAGAATCTGAAACAGGCTCCAGGCTCTGAGCTAGCTGTCAGCACAGAGCCCGACGTGGGGCTTGAACCCATGAACCGTGATATCATGACCAGAGCTGAAGTCGGACGCCCAACCGACTGGGCCATTCAGGTGCCCCGGTAAGGGTACTTCTGAACTTGTGTTATAAGGCAAAGATAACCCTGATTCCAAAATCTGATAAAGACATTACAAGATAAGAGTTATCTAAATTCCTATAGATCTATATTCCTTATGAATATGGATACATACCCAAAAAAAATGCTGAACAAAAATATCAGTAAATAGAATCTACCCACTGGGCGCGTGGGTGGTTTTAGTAGGTTAAGCATCCAACTCTTAGCTTTGGTCAGGTCATGATCTCTCGGCTTTGTGGGTTTGAGCCCTGTGTGGGGCTCTGCACTGGCAGCGTGGAGCCTGCTTGGGATTCTGTCTCTCTCCTCTCTCAAGTGAAGTTTTTCAAACTGTAAAAGGATATCTCTCAACAATGACTAACATTATACTTAAAGGTAAAAGATCAATCCTTCTCCATGAAGATCAGAAACAGGGCAAGAATATCTTCCCACCACTACTAGTAAATATTGTACTAGAGAACTTAGTGAAATAAAAAATGATAAATGAATATAAGGCATAAGATTGGGAAGGAAATAAAACCATCACTATTCATAGACAACATGATTATATATGTAAGTAAATCTAAAAAAAAAAAAAGGCTACGCCCATAATACTAGCACTAATAAGTGAAATTAGCAAGATGAAAGGAATCCAGATCAATACATAAAAAGTAGGTATATTTGTTTAACAAGTAACAAACAACTGGAAATGAAATTTAAACAAAATAGCATCAAAATAGCATCAAAAATGTTAAATATCTAGGGGTGCCTGGGTGGCTCAGTCGGGTAAGCAGCCAATTTCAGCTCATGATCTCACGTTTGGGAGTTCAAGCTCCACATCGGGCTCTGTGCTGACAGCTCAGAGCCTGAAGCTTGCTTCATATTCTGTGTCTCCCTCTCCCTGCCGCTCCTCTGCTCATGCTCTGTCTCTCCCTCTCTCTCAAAATAAACACTAAAAAAATTTTTTAAGTCAAATATCTAAAAATAAACCTAACAAAAATTGTTTAAGTCCTATATACTGAAAACTACAATTGCTGCTGAGAGAAATTAAAGACCTAAATGAATGAAGGGGATGTATCATGTTTATGGATTAGGAAACTCAATATGGAAAATCCATTCTCCCTAAATTGATGTATATATTCAATGCAATTTCTACTTTTTAAAAATTTTTTCTAACATTTATTTATTTTTGAGAGACAGAGCATAAGCAGGGAAGGGGCAGAGAGGGAGGGAGACACAGAATCTGAAGCAGGCTCCAGGCTCTG